CAGATGTTTTAAGTGTAGATATCTATTTCAGATAACTGACAGTCTGCATATTAACAAGAGATGTATGTACAGATATTCAAATTTTCAAAGTACAGAGATATGTAATTTGAATACAGATATCTGTAATTTCTCTATATAGTGTATTGAAAAATGTATTCATAACAAATTTAAATGATGGATTTAATGGGTAAAATCCACACAGCTGGACACAGTTTACTTTTAAAAAGAGTTCACTTTAAATTAAAAAAAAAATAGTTTAAAATGCTGTATGACATTATTTTATTGCAAAATTAAAAATGGATTACAAAACAGGCAAAATCTATATTATTACAGCACATTTATAGGAAACGATGTAAAAGTTTATAGTAACACACATTTATATTATTGCATAACCCACTATCATATATAAATATTGACCACTCTAAAGCATTTCTGCTTTATATATTCATTTCTATAACCAAGTTTGAAAGGCTTTCATACTTTGTCATATGTCATAATTGTACCAATGACCCTCCCTTGAAGATAGGTTATTTATTCCTTTGATTTCCAAATTTTGTTAACATATATAGTTAATTCAATTCAGTTTTCTATTAGATTCTATCATTTTTGAAATATTAAACATAGGTATTGAACAGCTTCAGTCTGATTTCAAATACACAGTGAATGTCATCGAAAGGCGCTCTAAATACACATGAATTACTTAGAATACACAATTTTGTGCGCACAAATAGTTAGTAATTAATATTATAATTACAATCAAAATTAATCATAGCCTTTTTGGAGCATTCATAAAAAAAAATCGAAATTAATGTTTCCTTTTTTGAGACAGATATTTACCTGAGACAATTTAAACCTTAAACCAACTAACAAAGTAATAAGTATAAATGCCAAGCTTTATTCCTTGTAAATACCGTACACGTTTCATTGCTACATATTTTCAATATTTATTAAAAAATGTTTTTCCCCCTGTTCCATCTTCACGACTGCATTTAGATTGGCATAATTAAATTATTTTATTTGACAGATCACGAATCGTTTAGGATCAATAATTTCAGAGTAATTAGTTTTAGTTTTTGACCGATTCGCTGTAGCCGATGATACGTTAATGCTGTTATAAAAATCCTGCTTTTTGTGATCTTGTTTGTTCACAGGAGTGAAAACACAAACAAACGCACGCATATGGTTAGACCGAGTTCCGTTATTTTCTTGTAACAGCGTATTACTTTGTATTTCTTGTTTGGTAAAGAAGTTAAATCATACATGAAAAAAATTGTAATCCGTGCTCCGTGAATTTCCTATCTTAAGCCTCGGTAACCGATATAACCAAGTCGGGCCCCTTTCCTGTATCCGGTTGAACCGGTTTGTCTGTTTATTAATGTAAAAAATAAATGGGTATAAATCCATGCAGGCCTTGCAAGGCTTTGAAAAGATTCGTCTGAAAGCAGCATCAGATTACTAGGTGCGACCTTTTTTCGTAAACGAACAACTTTGGATAAGCGAAAAACGAAAGCGACCCCATGACGTAAAACTACGGGATGTATCGCATAAATTGAAAGTGGTGAGAATATCTTGCAACAGCAAAATGTACTGACACAGGAATAGTATATTTATGTCAGTTCATTTCGCCATAATGCCGTTTTTATCCAAACGGTTTGTTCAATGTTGATAGGTTTCACATTTACTGTACAGTACTGTATTTAAATGCAACATCGAGCACACCATGAATGAAGTAAGCCTACCTCAAACGACGATTTTGTCATCCTAAAATGACCCTTAAATTCGACAATCGAGTAAAAGGGAACTATTTCTTCAAATTTGTTGTCGATTCTTGTCGGATTCTTGCGATGACCGAGCATCAACTGCAAAGCCGTGTTTCTTGATCGGATAACTGCTGCTGATGCATCTGTAAACGATACAAGGTCCACGTTCTCGCTACCGAACGCGGTAAAGGAACGTCAGGCTGATTGTATAAAAATATAAAACCAAATCATGTTCTCAAATATTGCTGTCTTTTTTTCCACCGTTCCAGATAGTGCCTCCACGTGCAGTTGTGTATGTATGCCGGATATCGGGTATGGTGGTGTACTTGCCTCCCTGTGATAGCGTGGATCTGATGCCAAAATAGATTATATTTTGTTGGTCTGTATGCGCCATCCCTGCATAAAGCATTCCAATCAGTGACAGTAATATGGAACTGACTGTTCACAATCCCTACCTGCCCTCCCAACTTCCTTGCAATATTCTTAAACATAATCACATTGACTCCCCTCCCTCCCTTGTCCCTGCAGGTAAGATGTATGAATTGTACCTGCTGCCCCAATTGTATGATCGTAAGAGGCGACTGTATTTGGGATCTTATCTTTTCTGTTCTTTCTAAACAACTTTCTTCCTAATGTGTCCCTTGACAATGCCTCACTTTTGGCCTTGATTTGAGCGTTCGCCCCTGTAGTGAAGGCTTTGGGTTCTGTCCCCTGGCCGAGACATACCAGAGTCTGTAAAAATGGCAGTTTCTACTCCTGCTAATCGCTCACCAATTTAGGAGTGGGACGACTAATTCGCCCGTTGTCAGTATAATGGGAGGTATCCTGCTGGATGTCTTCGGCATGTTTCAGTTAGGTAGCACTATAAAGTCGGCATCAGTTCCGCGTTATCACAAAGAGACTAACACGAACATATCGCAGCCTCCCAAAACACGCATACACTACACGCATGCATCTTGCACACAGGGGAGGCCGTCCTTAAATTACCATAGCTGTTGATAGGACGTTAAACAATACTAAACTAAACTAACGGCCAATCAACACAGGATAGGTTATTAGGGCCAACAAATGGTCGACAGAAACAAATGCTAAATAAAAATATCAAACCAAACTTAAAGGTAAAAGACAAACGTCAAATTGGCGACTCAAATTTTATCAAAAAGACCAACAGCTTTCAGATAGCCTTAAATTGGGGAAACAGTTGTTTTCGAATTGAGATTCAAGACATGTAATGTTATCATAAAAATGTTCTCGAGCTGACTGAAAGTCGATACAATATAATAACAAGTGCTTTATTGTAAATTGTTCCTGACACGCTATGTATTGAGGCTTGACTCACGTTTTAATAAATAACAATTGGTAATGTATGAATGACCATTCCGGAGACGGGACAACCTAATCTCGGCGCCTCTCTGTAGCTAAGATTCCATTCACCGATTTCAGGTTTAATAGAATGTTATTTGTTATCGACGCATTGATTCCAGTTATTTTGCATTTTGTTGCGAAGGCTCTGTAGAACAGATGTGCTCAAGGCCGAGATAAATATCATGGGCTTCTGCGGAGAATATTGACACATCATTGGGTAGCTGGCATCCAACAGAAACCGTAGCATATTTCGCTACAATCGCCGCAGCAACTTTATGATCATCTTTCCAACCGTCAGTATAAAAAGGCTGAAAGTCCTTATATTTTGAAAAAAAAGAAGAAAAAAAGTAAGATTCGGAGTCAGATTTGGATGTGAGAGATCAACCTCCGCCGGTGAAACCAGAAGCTACGGAGGAATACTAAAGGTTGCAAATTATTGGATTATGTCGATATTAATTTGGGTTCTTTCCAGAAGGAATAAAATTCGAATTCCAGTTTGGTTAATTTTGAAATAGAGTTTTGTAATTTAGATTGAAAACAAGTGTATAGGCTGGATTTGAAGGGTTTGGTTTGACTTTAAGTTGACTGCATATATATATTGCAAAGATAACTTCTCTCGGCGATTATATAATGATGATTCGTTTGCTTCCACGTAAAGACTAGCATATTGTGTGGTTTTGAAAGCTCCAGTTGCAAGTCGCAGTTCCTGGTGATGAACTGGCGTAAAGCCCAAGAAACTTTGCTTATGAAACCATAACGTTCTCTCAAGGGTTAAATGTGTCAAAAATTTGTTTAAAAAACCTAAAAGAGTCATATGTTCAGATAATTAGCATGGAGCTTTATTTAGACCTTCTAATGGTATTATAAATATCGATTTTGTTTGTTTATTTTGGGGAGTTCATAAACGTGCTACGAAATACATGCATAAAAGAAGAACTGACATTTTTCACAAATATTTTATTGACAAGTGCGATGATAGAAAAATAAAAAGACATCACAAAAATAAATCATAAGTCAATCGACATACTGTATAATTGAAACATGAATACTCCATTTTTGAACAGTATGATCGTGTTCATTCCCTCATCAAGATGTTAGTCTCCAGTTAATTTGATCGCATTATAAATATATACTAATCTTATTCTGGATCTGCCTGTCTTGGATCATAGGGCTAATTCTTGTCAGATTGTCCCACTACATAACCAAGCCATTACCGTTAAGGACTATGCTGATTTCTTTCTTAGCAATACTGCCACATTATTCAGTCTACTCACAATCGTGAATTCATGTAGAGTCTTTGAGTTTCTTTTTTACGCCTTTTTGCCCAAAATGACATTGGCGAGGGAGCGGCGTTTAAGCCTTTACAAACAGACATGTTTAAGTACGAACAAAGATTACTATATTAACATCATAGAACAAAGATGGCTCGATAAACGATGGGAAGAAAGGTGCATGGACTATTTGAAGGAAACGAAGATGATTCCATAACGTATTTGAAAGGTATGAAAATGAAGGCGTTCCTGAATGAAGTGATAATGAAAGGGGTCGGTCCCCTATCACCAAGGCTTTGCATATAAAGACAAATCAATTTTTCAAGGGTTTTTTTTTTGCCCTCTTCCACCCTCAACTTACTTTATGAATGCGCTGATTTCCAACAAATACTTGACAGATTTTATGAAGTACTGTCTATGCAAAGACTATTCGATGCGGTTTCTGTGCAATTAATATTTGACTATTCACACTATATTGATCTTTACAATAAAATATGATATATTGCGCAGCTGATTTGTTCGATATTGATGTATTTCTTTACTCCTTTGCATATCATAAAATATTAAGTTTTGGTTTGATGTGTTTATTTTTGTGAATGTCCTTTTTACAGTATTGTTGGCCCTAAATGACTTACATTGTCGATGGGCCGTTAAACATTACCAAAACAAAACAGGACTTCCTCCCTTTTGAATTAAAAGCCTTTTGCTAAGTGCTATTAGACTTAGGCATTGGCAATAATTTTATATCTAGTTCCACCTTGTTTGGATTTAATATTATATTTTAATTCCAATCTAACAAATGGCCTCTGGCATTTGAATAAATGCTCTATTACAACAATAAATGTCTAGGTGTCATTTTTGGGTTTTATTTTCAAGTAGATCACATAAACACGATTATATAAGCTGTGCTATTTTCTGGTTTTTAAATCAGAGTGTCAAACCTTTCACAGTCTTATTAATAGTTTTATTACACAGAGTTAATTATAATTATATTCTGGTTTATGATGTATTGGATATCCCTACATCTATAATGATAATGTAGTCTAGTTATGTTAGACTGTATGTTGCTGATACATGTATTATAGTTTGTAGAAGTTAGGTAATAATTAAATCAACCTGTCTTTGTTCACACAAAAAAAAATCTGCGTTAACAGTTGCTGATGAATCAAACAATAATATATATTTATTAAAGACATAAAACCAGTGATTGGCAAAGTAAATAAGCCTGTCAAATCGCCTGTCGTCCGTCCTTAAACAATTCTTGTTATCGTTATTACTCAGAAAGTATTCGAGGGATCTTTCCTAACTTTGATATGTAGGTTTTTCTTGGTATATAGTTGTGCAAATTTAAGTTTGAAATGACTCGTTACAACAAAAATGGTCGACAGGCGGCCATCTTGGATATTGACAGTGAATGTTTGTTATCGCTATTTCGCGGGAAAAACATGGAAAAAGGTCTCTAATTGTGCAAATTAAATTTTGAGATTGCTCGTATCACCAAAATGGCCGACAAGCGACCATCTTGGATTTTGACGGTGTTGTTTGTTAATGTTATTTCTCAGGAGGTACATCAAATTGGTCTCTAGTTTGCAGGTTAAATTTGGAGACTGCTCTGATAAACAAAAAGCGCCGACAGGCGGCCATCTTAGATTTAGACAGTGAATGTTTGTTATCGCAATTTTTCGGGAAGAACCGGGGTTATTTTCTCAAATTTCATATGTAAGTTCCCCTTAGTCTCTTATTCAACATTTTGATATAGTTTGGATAAACAAAATGGCCGATAAGGGGCTATCTCGGATATTTGACGGTGAATGTTTGTTTTCGCTTTTTCTCATGAAATACTGGAAGGACCTTTCTCAAATTTCCCTGGTCCTTAAGTCCAAAATGTTTACCTCAAGGTGCATTTACTTTGGACGAAATTGGGAAAACAAATGTAATTAAAAAAGCATTAATCTGCTCGGACTTGTTATCACTGCTACCATGTATTAAAAATTGGAACTTTAACAACATTCTCATTTAAAACATCGCTCTCCATATTAACAGGATTTTAATGTTCTACCACCTGATAATCATATGGATACCCGGTCATGTCGGAATAAGTGGAAATGAGAAAGTAGAAAGGGTTGCCAAAGCAGCCCTAAACCTACATCCAATAGATAGTAAAATACTTTATAGTGATTTTAAACCTGTAATCGCGAATTTTATTAGAACGAATTGGCATAATTAAAAGTCTGAATTGGTAAACAACAACTGTTCGCAGTTCAACCTAACGTAGCTTCATGTGCGACAGGTGGAGCGGGTCGTAGAGTGGAGGCTGTCCTCTCGCGACTGCGCATAGAACATACCTACATCACACTTATTTACATTTTACATAAAGAAGAGCAACTTTATTGTCAAGATTGTGATCATTCATTTACAGTCAAACATTTTATGATTGAATGCGCTGATTTCACACAAAAACGCGACAGATTCTATAATGTATCGTGTATGAAATGTTTATTTGATACAGTTTCTGTTGAATCAATATGTTATTATTTACAATTGATCTTTATAATAAGATTTGATAATATTTACAACCAATTTGATACCTGTTGATACATTCCACAACTTTTAAATCTTTTAATTTCTAGTTTGATGTGTTTATTTTTGTGATTGCCTATTGTAACGTGTTGTTTCGCCCTAAAACAAAGCAAAACATAACTGTTTACATGACTCAATCAAACAAATAAGAGAAAAGATCGAAATGGCATCAAATTAATGAAGATTGTACAATGGTGGGCGCCAAGACTGCTCTGGGATCTCTTGTTTAGTAATATTTAAATCTACCGTTATATGAGGTCGATGGAGTTGCAGGCCTCCGTATAGAGAGGAAAGCCGAGGGCAAAATGAAATTAAAACTACAGGTCCCTTTCAAAAATTGACACAAGAATAATTACACTCAAGAACCACCTGCCATTCTACATTTGTTATATTATATATTAATTCTACAAACATTTACATCTTTATATTTACAAGTCTAAGCCCTAAATACCAGATGTTTTAGTATTTATCAAGATTGTTCAAATAATATTTATTTAATAAATGAAACTATATTATTTACTACATATATAATTCTGATCGTCAATATTTTCTTATGGACTTGTCCTTGTCACACTCCGGATTAGTCATTCATAGATAACTCATTATTTTATGACACGCGAGGACAAACCATAATGCATATCATTTAAAGAACCAGTTACAGTAAAACGCTTGTTGAAAGATTGCGTTTACCTTCAGCTAACAAGAAAAATTCTATAATAATGCTATATGGCTTGAATCTATTTTCGAAATAGTACATGTCTACAGTTTTACGCTATTTTTGTAAGCTGTTGGTCTGTTTTAAATATTTGTCACTTTAACCACATTTAATTTTCAGTTCGACTTTTGGTTTTTACTTTTTGGATTGTTTGTTGTCATTTTTATACTTGCATTAAAAGTACAATTGGCTTTCAGTGCTTGTTGAATAACTGTCTCGAATAATTTCATGTACGGTAGTTGGGTATGATACCCATATCATCGATAGCAATACCGATACCCACTATCAAATCATCTATTCATATAATTCATAAATATGATTATGCACACGTCAGCATAAAGTCAATATCAAAACTCAATATAAAATCGTATATTCTTGACTTTCAAATGAACTGTATTGTCTGGTTTAGGCTGAAGATCTAAATCTAGTCGATCAGTTTTTATCATTATCATAAATAATTTGTATTATGTATGAAAGGGGTTTAAACATTTGTTAACTGGACGGTGTTTTTTTTATAATATGCAATATGTATCATATTAACCAACAAGAATGTCTACGTGTCAAAAGCCTCGATATTATGTGTCACATCTATTGTTTCATTTCCATGATGTTGAGGATGGAAGCACACTGGGTCCCACGGCGTAACCGACAGAGACTGGTAGGGGTTCAAACTTCTGAGCAAATCCTGGGGTTACCATGTTGACAGAGGCAGAGCTTCCATGAAGTGTATACTGTTCTCTAAACCGTATTCTGCAAATGTCAATTGGGGATGTTTAACAAAATTTGTGAAACTTCAATGAATATACATGCACCCATTTAGTAAAAAATGTTATAGGTGGGAAAGACATGCGAACATACCGATAGTCCTGACACATACTAATGCAAAAATATTAAACTTTCATAAGTATAGTATTCCAAAAACCAAAAGCAGAACGATTTCAAAACATCATAGCTCGCCTATTTGAAGAATGTTAACTATGCCATACATTAGTGAATAAAAAAATCTAATTTTTTTGATCAATCAGGAATTTCCAGGCAATATATCGTACTGGTAAAATTATTTATCTACAGATTTTTTATTTTTGCATAAATGTTATATATCGTTAACATCAGCATCGCAGGACAAGAATCAAAGGCTCCATTATACAAGATGAACTTTTGGATATTTCGGCAAAATAAGTACTTCAATACAGTAAAAATATTGACAAAAGTATTTCGACTGCCCGCATCAATTTTCTGCCTCTATGAAAATAATCCTGCTAAATGCACGTTATCTTAATAACATTACGAGAGGTTATATGTATATATTTTTTAACACTTCCACCAGAACTTTAACCAGTACGTTTGCTGACGTCGTAGCGATTATATAAGCCCACAAGGTAATAAAACAAGAACTTCGTCGGGTAGTTGTATGATGCAGTGTACATCGATCGTTAACAAACATAGTATCAATTAAGCCTAAAAGATGATAAAACATAACTTGTTTTTCTACCATTTTATACCATAAACATCCTTAAAACATATTAGTATGTTACAACATTATTTTACCAATGTCAAATGTTTTCTTTTCTCTGAATTATTTAGTTTTTTGTTGTACTTTAAAAAAATAGTAAAAAATGTACACAGATCAAAAAACAACAGAAATAAAGACAGATTAAAAAAACTGAAAAAAGGAATAAATCAAACTATATAACATAAGTAGTAGAAATAACACATGGACAAGAAAAGCCAAAAACAGATCAAATTTTCATTTTAACTATAACACTAACAATAAAAACGGTAATATGGAAAGCAAAAAGTGATAATAAACGGATAAACAAAAACAAAAATAGCACTTGATTGATTGATAAGTTTTACGTCCGCTTCACTACCGCGAACCAGCACTTGTTACAGTGTAGATTTATAAAGGAGAGTAAGTAAGATCATATGAACGAAATGATTGTAAATAGTAATAATGGTTACGCAGCAAATAAAAACAAGAGTAAACTAGGTTGAGTAATATCGTAGTATTATTGAATTATTGAATTCATTAATGAAAAATACAAACCTTGCATTTTTCCGATACTTGATATAAACAACTACTGAAATGGCCAATACACTGAAAGCGAGGAACACCACCAATGTCGCGACCAGCACTGTCAGCGGTAATCCTACAAAACGTATGGACATAAGAGAGAAAAAAATCTGAAAATGTGCATAATATTTCGGACTGTACGATACCAGTATGCAAAAGACGAATCACTCTTATGAATTAGATTTTTGGTTCATATTCAAGAACAAATTAGATCGTGCATTCTTAGGATCTTGATGATACTAGAATTACATTTAACATTATTTTCACGGAGCACGATGTACATCGTATTTAGTTATATTAGGCGTCATGATATCCTTGAAGATGTCCCTGTTATCAGGCTTAGTTTTGCGGTATCAAAAAATAAGATGAAAGAACAACGGAAGATAAACGGATAACATTCTTGTAACGGCACTGATTTCCCAGGGATATTGCGTAACGCAAAAACATCGTTAATGACAACAGTAACGAAACAGACATTTCCCTTAATATCACTGTTTGGCAAACGTCGTCTCATTCTTCTTGCGAACAGTTTAAGCGAGACGTGAAAATGTTTTGCAGCAGTATTTGAGTAGAGCGTTACTTTGGATGGTTTGTGCTACATTCAATCGATATGTAGCACTCTTATTGGATGGACAATAACCAGAAATTTACGTAAACGCGAGCATAATTGTATTACTTATGGTATCATTGACCATCCTCCACCACAAGCAATCTTCACTGAAACTCGCTATATTTAAAATAAATAAGATATATGCAAATCTCAGAGACCATGAAATACCTTTATCATTTCCGGGTGATCTATCGTTTTTACTAGATGTCCCTTGGCTAGCAGACATTGTCGTAGCAGAGGCAGCTGATGATGTGGTCAAGGAGACGGAAGGTGCTGTAGTTGTCGTAGTTGATGGAGCTGTCGCTGTTGTTGGTCGAGTAGAAGTTGTGGGGATAGTGGTAGTTATTGCTTGAATAATGGTACTTGTTGTGGGAATAGTCGTAGTTGTTGTGGGAATAGTCGTAGCTGTTGTGGGAATAGTTGTTGTTATGGGAATCGTGGTAGTTGTTTTGGGTATAGTAGTAGTTGTTGCAGAGTTTGTTGTGGTTGTTGTCTCATTTATAGCAATTGAACTTGACAGTGTTTTATCTGTTGTCGTACTGGTCGTTGACGTTGCTTCAACTAAAATAAATAAATTTTGATTCAAATTTCATTTATAGAGTTTTCCTTTATATTGTTTTGCTCTTTGCTTACTATATTGATGTTTTTATTTTCAACGATTGATTCTTTTATGCATTGCTCATTTTTGCATTTAGCCCCGAATGCTATACCAGGGTGTATGCATATGATAAGGTATGTTTGAAAATAATTATTTAGAAAATTTAACTAAAAATATAAATTTGATACAACTGCTGTCGCGCTATCAAACCAGATAAAGAGATTTATGTTCAATCGTTAAAATTTAAGTTGAGAATATTATTCCATTTTCAATACTCTATATCTAATCACATCTATATTTACAAATAAAATCAAGATAAAGAGGGAATATATTTAAGAAAATGTATTTTTAACTTACGGTAACGGAAACCAATAAAGAATCCATACTGTTTGTTGTAATTCTTAAACAATGTTATAGGCAAATATTAGTATAATTAGACAATTATCAAAAGCAAATACCAGAGCAGTTAGCGACGTCGGTCGTCCCGACGAACTGTGTTGTATAGCCAGTTGGACATGCTAAGCACTCTGTCTGTCCTTCCTCGTTCTGGTGGGTTCCTTTATCACAAAAAACGCACCAACCATTCCTTTCACTTGTACCTGAAGGGCATTTAACTGTAACGAAAATCAACACAAATGAGGGAGTGATTGTACACATAAATTAAGGATAAGAGCTGGTTTCATTTCAGTACTGACAATTTGACGTTCAAAAAACGTAATAAAAAAGTAGGAAGAAAGTAAGCACATACATATAATAACGATATTTTAACAGATATCATAATGACACAGTCGAATGTTTAATTTTAATGAGATAGTGTATTGTTCGCAACATAGCATAGGTTTTAAATATCTCGAGAACACAATGACTCGCTTTGAATGGTTTGCGTTTACCTTACCGAAGAACTATAACTTTTTCAACAGTGCAACAGTTGATACATTTCATGAAATAAATCTGCTAGACTTATTATCAGACAGCAATCGTTTTGGCGTAGAAAATTCACATATTCGGCATTAAATATTTCTAAAAAAAAGACCTAGGTAAACACTGGAGTATTTTCATTTGTTAGGTTTTAATCACATACCAACAAGGTGATACAATATTCAAATCCTTCGATTCTGTTAAAACTAAATAGGGACTTTTTGACTGGATTTAACGTTCAAAAGTCAAACGTAATCGGATGACAAGGAAGACAACAATGAAAGTAGGGTTGTGGAAAAACAAGGGAGAAATCAGATCCAAAGTGTGGCAACGGGAGCAGCGGATCATTTTTGGTCTCTTCTATGTTTTTTACAGGCAGAAGACGCATAACAATAACCCGATTCTGCAAGTTGCCACTTACGACAGGTAGTGGAACGCACACATGGTTGTATATGGAAAAATAGATACACAACAGTATGTGAAGAGCTCACCACAGGCCCCGTCGTTTGCGATGGAACCGTTCGGACACGTGATTACTGCATTCATAGTAAACGTGCTGGGATCAATGTTATAAGTCACGTTGTTGACCTTCACGGCAAAATAATCAGCGGCGGTGTTGTTGATTTCCTGAGCAGTCTCTTCTAACTCTGTCAATGCATTTATATAGGTCTGGAGGTCTGCACTCACTGATGGAAAGAACGTTAGCATATATCATTAAGATATCTGGCGTAATTTCATAACATTTTTGATAAACAAATAGTCCATATTATTTATTCATGTCATGCTGCCTTTATTTTTTAAGAAAAAATATGGATATTTATTGAGAATTGGATTGCAAATATTTAATGTTGAAAAATCGATAGTTAAGACATTTTATGGAGACAACACATCCACTTCATATACATTTTGATAAACAAATGTTAAGTTGTCAAATACACGATTCATTTGTGTGTTTTCAATAATGTATTTTGATGTTTAATATTTTTGTTTTGTGTAAATTTCCTTCGCATATTTAGAGATACAAACTTTTTCATTTTTCGAATTCACATAAAAATGGAAATAATCAACATGCTCATGACACTTAGCTTGACATAATGGGGTTAAAATAAGGTTTTATTTTTTAATTATGTATTTATTCTCCAATTTTACCTGAATGTACCCCGTTGTTACGAGAATGAAATTTTGGGACGGATTGGAAAACAAAAATGGCTGACTAGTGGCGATGTTGAATATTAAAAGATAAAGTTTGTTCACCCAATTCTTGTACAGTGGTCCTGGTGTATACATCTCTCTAAAATTTAATAAAGTTTCCCTTGGTCTTAGATAGGCATATCGAATTTATTTCTAATCAGAAAACAAAGATGGCCGACACGTGGGGCATGTTGAATTTTGAGAGTACAATTTTGTTAGTCCTATTTCTAATTTAGTACTCAGGGAAGTTTTAAAAAAATAAAAAAAAAGTTAACCTGTGTCCCTAAAAACGCATGTCGAATGTTTAGACTGATGGAACAAATAGGATTGCCACAAGAATTTTCAGTTTAATTTTGTTATCGCTGTTTCTGCTGTTGTTCCCCTTGGTCCATTGTTACAAATACCCTGGCCCAAATGAGAATTAATCTGTCATTCACAGCACATATAATTATGCAAGAATTACAAATTTGTATTCAATATAGTGCATTTCTTATACAATAACAATTGTTAAAATGGCAAAAAACATGACGTTACAAGATTTTAGTTAAGGTTAAAGATCCCCGTTTAGGATTTCAAACAGTGGACAGGGTAATAGTATCTGTAAAGAAAATGAAGAACAAAGAATGAAAAAGATAATTTTTTGAAGATCTGACAAAGATCCATCCTTGCTGGATGCCAGGATCCTTCTAGAATCTTTTGTTAATCTTTTGATTTTGTGTTTGAAGTTTGACTAGCAAATACCATCAATTTTAAAGAAAACATATGTGATCTTTTATTTGCACATGTATGAGTATAATGAGTGAATATATTACCCACGTTCAAAATAAAACAAATCATTCACTATCGTGGCTTTAATACACCCTGAGCATTTGCTCATACTTACCGATATTATGTTCTAGCAATGCAGTCAGATTGAAATCTTCAAGATCGTCTAAGTTAATGAAAAAGGAGATCTCTGCGGTTGTTGTTGTATCTCGCCTCCGTCTTGACGAGCATCCTGTGGTGGACACCGAGGAAGTACACTCATTGTTACGTATACACTGAGCTTCTCCTGCAACTGTCTCTAAGGCTTGGTTGGTCTCACTTCCACAGGGAAGGGCGTTGTTGTACGTCACAGATGTTCTAAATGTCAAACGTCGTCCGGGAATTAATTCTGAATCATTAAGAACGAAATATCTAAGAAAAATACAATTTTGATCAGACGTAAACGTCCAATTTGACGATTTGCTAATGCGCGATATTCAGCAAAAGCGCAAAAGAAATAGTATGTAACAAGACAGATTTTTTTGTTTTACAAAGTTTCAGTGCCATAAATAAACATGATTATGAACATTAAGTTTAATGATATCATAGCATTTATTACAACCAATTCGTTTGGCCCCTTGTGGTCATCGATATCTTCTTGCATTCTGCAAACTAAATCGTAGGTTCCCTGATATTGAAGATGTGATGATATAATATATATTATATTGCTACTGCTGTTGTACTTCGTGACATTTAATGAAATAAGTCTTGGGGGTATAAACGGTTAATGACACCTTACAACATGTGACTAAATATTGTAAGTAGATGTATATACGAAATCATTGTAAATTCGGATTGATGCTTTGATTTCAATTATCTATTGAAGCAAAACTTACTCTCTCATACCATGGTATTAAATGTAATTCCCTTTGATATGAACCTACTGCTGTTTTTATACCAAGGTTAAAACTGTACATAATAATTAGAAATCGTAATTTGACTTGTTCAAAGCTAGTATAGTATTCACAATCACAAATGGCAGAATTTTCTTTTTTCTTTTACCCAATCAGAATCGAGGAAAGAATACACCTGCAGGGGTCATGCGAAATCGGTGATTATCTCTGATGTGGTCTATTTAAGGGACATGGAGGAAAGTAAAATTGATATGCTGTCCCCATTGCAATACTTGGGATCTATTATCGTTTCTTGCTACCTTCTGTTTTTCCTTTTTCGGAGTCTCACTAATGCACCAATATACATTGACATACGGCTGACATACAAAAGTTACATGGTGGTACGTCCTTAAATGACCTCGGCTGTTAATAGGACAGTAACCAAAACAACACTCCCTACTGATCTAGCTTTTGATAGGACGTTGAACCCTATATAACAAACCAGCCTATCTTGGCGCTCGTCTTCATATTATAACGCTGTTGCGATGACGTTTAACAACAAACAAATAATTAGTTCAGTTATTCTTTTCATGCGTGAATATTGAAAACAACGGATATTCAACGTCATGCAGCTTTTGACAAGTACTTAGCTTATTATGGTATTTAACGTTTTGGTACTAAACATTGGCAAATTACTTGAATCTTTAAATTGTATGTATTTCTGTTATTTTCAATAATGTTCACCTGCACAGCTAGGAGGAAGCCCGTTCCAGTTGTAAGAGGTGTTGGCGCCACATTCATAATAATCGAGGGGCTGATTGACGAATTCCATTCCTGTTTGACATTTTATGTGACATCGTGTGTAATCACCATCAGTAATACAAAAGTCTTTCTCAGTTTTCCGGCTTTGCAATAGAAGAATTCCAACTGGATCACATTCTGCAATAGTTCAATATCGAATGAGACATTCTTTAGCAAAGCAAATGGATATTCCATACACAATTACTTGCAAGGCATCAATTGGTGTATACATTGAGCTTAACTAGTATTAATACGTATATAAATGTATTTACCAGGACAGGGATCTGTATTGCAGGAAGCTTGATCTTGGTCACTTCCAGAACAATTTGCACCATCCAGTCCCGGCGAAGGGTTGGAACATGTTCTAATCCTTGTTTGAAGACCCCCATTGCAACTTTTGCTGCATTGGTCATATTCTCCCCATTCTGCCCAATTCCCGTTCACTTTTTAAGAGAGAGGTGGAGCACACACACATTATTATCATTCAAAACAAAAATTGAAATAATTAGAAAAAACTTATATTAACGAAGAAACTTGAAGTTTATCTGGATATATATTTGAACCATTACATAAAACATTACGCAAATTACAGTGGAATATTTTACTTTTTACAGATACCTATTTCGTCTTCGCACAGTGCCCCCTTGAAGTCAGCTGGACACACGCAAGTATAGTTCCAGGCCTCATTAACACATGTCGCTCCATGCTCGCACTGGTTGCTGACACAAAAGTTAGGAGCATTTTCACAATTGTGTCCCGTGTACCCACTCTTGCAAGAACATTTGTATGCATTGAGCAGATTCTCACAAAAGTGGTCTCCGCATGGACTTGCAGCACACTCGTCAACCTCTAAAAACGATACGAAAGATACTTTTCAAAATATAAATATGAAATGTTTCGTGGTAACAATGATATGTTTTATATATAGTAATCGATCAACATTATTGATAGCACGAATGCATAGAACAATAAGTGGATGGTCTTGGTGATGTGATGTCTATACAAATTTATTGAAGTTCCTTTTAATAATGATCAACAAGGGAATAACCCTACTGTATTGTGCGATTTACGGGCGAATTCGGTAGGTATACTGCTGCTAATTGGGTTTTACTTGCAATGCGTTGGCTTGGTTTGGTTTAGTATTGTTTAACGTCCTATCAGCAACTATGGTCATTTAAGGACGGCCTCCCCTGTGTTCAAGATACATGTGTGTGTGTTTTGTAGGGCTGCGATATGTTCGTGGTTGGTTGTATAGGTTTGTCGTGCTATCAACATATCTATATGCGTGTTAGGGGTAGGGTATATTGGTGTTTTTGCCTTCTTGTTGCCAACGCGGAATGTCACGATATTGTTCGTTACATCGTAAATGATCAAACTTCATGACGTGTAAGGGTCAGTCCGGGTCTTTGATATTATTATCCAGCACTAAACGGTAAAGTGTGGTTACACCGTCGCAAATTATTTGAATCAAATGCTGTGTTAAATTTCAAACGAATTAAAATATATATATGTAGGTTTTAATGTCTAGAGAATTTTTTGGGTTTTATGTTATCAGTTAGACGTTTAAATGACTTATACAATGTATATACGTTGTACCTATAGTTTACTTAATAATTGCTATGTAATAAATATTACCGTCACACTTGGAGGGTGTTTCAATGTCGATCCCTGCTTGATTTATGAAGTTATTTATGTTGTAGAAAGAGTGGTCTGTGTTCGGACTACATGTACTGGCATCTGCCTGTATATCAGCATCGGTTCTGCTAGTATTTGTCATCTGCAAGCCAGACACCCGACAGCCTATATCGATAAAGTAAAAATAAATAGATTAAGCTCAAGTATAAATAATAGATTAAGGTTACGATAAAGGATATCAACACTTCGTACAAATCAAACGAAAATACTGCAAAAACAATTGATACATCACGAAACAGACAAATTCACCTAAACGATTCTTTAATTTATACTATATGTATATCAACAAGAATGTACTGGAAAGTTATATTTATTGATAACGTTCAGGAATTTTGTTTTCAATTTGAATTGACATTCAAAGATATTTCATTTTTTAAACGGTAATAATTGTTTGTACATATGTATCATCATTGTTTTGTTGGCAGTTTTCAGTTGTTAGCCGCCATTTTGTATAATCCTACGGTAACACGTGCGCGAAATGCTCACCATTTTTACACAACGTTCCAACAACATCCCGCGTTAAAACATACCTTTTATTTAATGTAAACTATATTGAGATATCAATATAAAATTGTAAGATTGATCGATATAAACTGATAAAACGTTGTTTTCGTAATTGTTGCAAAATTAAAACAGGGATACGTCATTGCCAGGTTGCAGAAGACGGCGCTATTCCATTGTTGTCGTTTTTTGTATTCTTACAAATCGATATATCAATCAGACTAAGGAAAACACATGTGGATGTTTATATAAACTATCAGTTAATATGAACTCATTTGTGCTAGTTTCATTCTTTTCTTTTTTCCTTCTTTAATTACCGTTTAATTTAACCCCGGGAAAATTAAGATCAGGCATGCAAATTAAAACAAAGAGTATATGGTGCACCTCGTAAAAAAGCAGATGTTTTCAATATCCAACTTTGAATTTTTGGCTAACAATTTGGCGGGCTTTTCACCTATATCACACCATTGAGGTAAAGACTTTAAATGTCTCCCTTGACAATGCCTCACTTTTGGCCATTTGTTGAGCGTTCGCCCCTGTGAGGATGTGAGGCAGTATGTTTCAGTGAGGTAGCACTATAAAGTCGGCATCAGTTCCGCGCTATCACAAGGAGACAAACACGAACATATCGCAGCCTCCCAAAATATACACACATACACTACACGCATGCATCTTGCACACAGGGGAGGCCGTCCTTAAATGACATTAGCTGTTAATAGGACGTTAAACAAAATCAAACAAACAAACTTTAAAAGATAAATCCAAGTTCAGAAAGTTTAGCAGTACTGTCCAAAATAACAGAACCAAAAAGGTGTTTAACTTTTCCTTTGGGTTAAATTTTTGTAGGTGAACGATTCTACCAGGACTCTTACTACTGGTGGAAGGGAAGTAACGCCTAAATAGCACGAGTTACTTCCGAACACCAGTAGTAAAAGTCCTGGTATCTTTGAAATTTGTTTCACAAAATTACATGTTCGAATTTGACCTCTATCAAAATACCGGAAGTTGATCTTTGATGGTTATTTATGTCCATAAACCGTGTAGCCCATCATCCTAGCATTCTACAGACCAAATATCAATACCCTGGGCATTTCCGTTATTGAGAAGGAGTCTTTTGAAGATTTTTAACATAATTGACCCGAGTGACCTTGAACATATGTCAAGGTTAATCATATTATCAAACTTGATAGTTCATTGCTTGAGCATGATGTTCCAAAAATATCATGACCTTGGGTGAGATGGTTATTAAGGAGAAGTTTTTTAAAGTTTGTTTCACAAAATTACACATTCGAAATTTGACCCCTACCGAAAACCGTAAGTTGACCTTTAATGGTCATTCTTGTCCATACACTTGGTAGCCCATCCCCCCAGCATACTATAGATTAAAAATCAATACCCTGGGGATTTCCGTTATGGAGAAGAAGTCTTTTGAAAATTTTAACAAAATTGACCACAGGGATTATGAATATTTTTACATATATGACCCCTGTGACCTTGAAAGTCAGAAATGTTTCCTGGAAAAAGTAATTTATTTGTTATTTTGCACAACATGTCCAAAGAATTAAATAAATTAACCCGTTAATGAAGTATTGAAACTAGTGAAAAAATCGGATATGACGTCTTGGCGGCCATTTTGCTTTTTCGATGAAGTTGAAAATGTTACCAAATATTAGAGAACATCTATGGAAACCTTTTCTGTAACAACTAAACGAAATATTTGTCATTGATATTGGAGTAAAAAAAGTTTTACATATTGTCGGCATTTTTAAACGATCAAAAGTGCGCACAACGTGAACGGTAAATGTTACAGAAAAAACTAAAGATATCAAATTCATATACAATGGTTGAACACAAACACGTGTCTTCAAATATGGCACAGAAAAAATATCAGGTTTCCCACTATCGATTTTTATTTTGTCCCGAAAATGACCTCGTTGCGATAGGTTAATCAATATAAGCGCAAAAGTTATTTCTTAGTTTCAAGAGTAAAACATATATTAAAGTAACTTACCGCCTTCAGTTCCATTGCCTTGTGTCATTGTAAGATAGGAGCCAGTAACAGCAATGTTTCTGGTGGTGACTGGTACCACGCTGCTGGTGATACCGTTGATCAATAGTATGGCCTGATTTGTAGTATTTGTCCATTTTATTGCATAATGGACCCAACCTTCTGTTACTATCTGGATCGTGGCTCTTAAAAAAAATTACATGCGAATAAATATATAATAATTGATATTCCAGGTAAATCATACAAATGGATATTTGATTGCGCTTAAATGAAGATAAGATGCATCTTCTTTCAACTAAAGAAACAGCTTTGTAATTATGATACACTGTATTTTAGTGTAACATGAGGAAGAGAAATGTAACGGCCAGAGCGGGTTTCCAGCCCGGGACCATAAGAACTCTAGATGGACGCTCTACAAATTGAGCTACACTGTCACCGACGATCTACCTAGTCTGGTTCCGCTACATTCCTACCTTCTGTTTATATGTTCTTGACCCTGAAGACACAACTATTTACAGCGTTGACAAGCTCGCCAATTTTGTATCAGGAAAGAGAAATGCAACGGCCAGGGCTTGGTTCGAACCCGGGACCCTCCTAACTCAAGACAGACGCTCTACCAATTGAGCTACCTGGTCGACAACGGTCGAACCAGTCTAGTTCCGCTTAAAACATATGAAATAATTTGTTTAAAATACCTTTTCATTCAATCATTATTTCAAAATATTGTATGTTTTGGTATCACATAGGTAATTCTAAATGTTCTGATAATACAATAGTAAACACACCCAAATAACTTCAATGTTTGTACGTCAAGGATAAGCATCTCTGTATAAATGCTACCGTTAGCAAATCCAAATGAAGGTAGGATAACGTTTCCGGAAGGGCAATGCAGCCAAAACATCAGAGTAAATTCTTCAAGTGTCGTCGTTAGATGCGGAAATGTCATGCTGTTTCCGGCAGAACTAAGCACTGCATCAAAGGCTAAAACAAAGTATTTTACTATTATCAAATAGTTATCCAAGCAGAGTATGTGATTTGGTTTCGTTTGTTTTTGCTTTACATCCTATTAACATCTTTATAAATAAAGGGCGAGCCAGGGTTTGGTGGTGGAGGAATACCTGAGTACCCGGAGCAAAAATACCGACCTGCGGACGGTGCCTTTCGACTGCCCTACGTAGGCTTCAAACCTACGACGCAGTGTGGATGGCTTGTGACTGCAGATGGTCGAAAGCCTTACCCAATCGGCTGCTATCTATATCGATATGACGACATAATGTCAAGTAACCATAGAAATTATTTCATTCAATTGAAATAGATTTAATAATACGATACCTCTTTAATTGCTAGTACAGACATAAAACATAGAATTATCCAAATCGTGTTGCAATTTAAACATTATTCAAATTATAACATTTTAACATTTTGAAAACTTATAATATTAAAATATTTGTCATCAAATAAGTGTTTACCATCATTTTCAAGATTATGGAGAGAGAAAAAAAATCGACATTAATTAGTTTTCAATAACACTTCAGAAGCTATATATTGATTAAAATCAGGAAACATGTCGTTCTATGATTTACGCGAACATAAATGGCGATACATTTTTAATTACCTGCAGCTCATAAGGTAAGTATCGACATATTACCAGCAAATTAAGTATATCTCTAATAGTTCCTAATTATTTTTTAACAGATCAGATAAGCTTCTATCAAACCAGTTATAACAATATTAATTAAACGTTCTTATATGCCACTTTGTCACAACTTAGATCGTAGCTCGTCTCAAAGCGGTTCACAAATTATTATCCATGGTTATAGGGATTTTGCAAAAAGTCAATATCTTTCTCAACTCCCTGGAGAGTAATACAGCCTGTGCTGTCATTTAGGCGCTCACATGTGGCATTCAACAATTCCAGCACTGCCCAACCACGTATTCATTTACAACTGAATAGACTGGAACAATCAGATAAAAGTATCTTGTTCAAAGTTACAACACAGTGTCGTGACTTGATCCCGCAGCCCTTCGGTCACGAGCCTGGTGTCCTACCACTAGACTACCATGTTCTATAATCACGACTCATTAGAGTATAATAAATTTCGTACATTTAATGATTTTCCTGTGTTTTACCTGACATGAATCGTAAACGTTACACAAAGATCCCTATCAGATCATCAAACATCAGATTTTGAGCAAACGGTATGAAAGAGATGAATAAACAAAAACAAACACAATGAAAAATTATAGTGTAATCTATAATATGCTGTATAACTTATTGAAGTTAATACTCACATAAGCATGCTATTGACGAAATTTGTCCTCGTTCAATTGTGGTTTTCCCCACTTCACATCTGCTGCAGCTCTTGCTGTTCCCATTTGACTGGTATTCGCCGACAGAGCATGTCGTACATGGAATTACTCCGGTTTTTGAGTAACTGCCAGCTGCACACACCGCTACGGAAATAAGAAATGGGATAAAGAAAAAAACTACCAAACGTTATAACATGTTATTAATGAACATTTTATTTTTTTTGTATCCTGTACGTTATCAAGTTTTATTTTTGAGTACATGGTATTACAAAATGCTCTATTCTTCATTAAGTAGAATTAAGCAGTTTAACTACCGACACCCTTTTATCAAAAACTTGATAGAAATAGAGTTAGGTGAACTATTATCAGTCTTTAGAGAACACAATACATGTTTAACACTTACGAAAACATTCTGAAATGTTTTTCCGGCCTGGTTCTTTTGTTGACATATCTGAAGGACACCTCTTACACGAAGTTTGGTGACTCTCATTCTGGTAGGTTCCAACAGGACATTTGGTACAAGTCGAATTCGCTGCTTCATAGTACTTGCCGGTAGCACAACCCTCTAAAATAACAAATATCAAAACAGGTAGTGTAGAGGCAATTTTGACATAATTGAAATATTTTACTGACATTATTAGAATATCAAAATAACTATAAAAAGTAATGTTCGAATATTTTGTTTTTTTAATTAAATACTGTACAAACATCTTAACAATTATATACATAATTCATATACATAATAACATACCGCAATTAGGAATGTCACCATCGTATATTGCCGTCTGTCCAAAGGGGCATTCCATATATGGATAAGTATCCGCAACAATCATAGCAGGAATTACATCACCTAACGACAGAGAACCCCCGCCGTTAGTTATCTCAGTCTTGATTGCATTAATCATATCGTAAAGATCCTGATCATTTGCTTCCAGGTCAGAAGCCGACGTACCGCCTTCCCATGTGATTTCTACCTTGAATTCAATTGTTATTACGTGACTATTGTCAGAAGCTCGCTTTTCTCGGAAAGGTGCGCTCCACACATTGGGCTCTGTAGGTCGCCCTCTACTGGTGGTCAACCCTATTGTCTCCCGCCTTCGTCTAGACGTCACCGGTCCACAGACTACCTTTATAGTATTCCTTGTGCAGCCTAAATCACAAGAAAACAAACACCCGTGAGTTTAAGTATCGAAAGTGGGTTAAAGTTTGGTCAAAGTGCAACACTAGATGGTCATCGATGATTGTTATGCTTACATTAAATAATTTTCAAAATGTATGATCAACTTTGGGTCTTAGGACCAAACATTCCTGTATTATACCTGTGTCATTCGGACATCTATTACTCCATCCACCATTGACCAAATCGATCATGTAAGCCAGGAATTTATCCTTTAGGTCAGACTGTACAGCTGCATCATTGCAGTCTCCAACAAAATAGTGCAATTCTGCACCAATAGTATTGACATCTGGGGGTCTTCGTTCTGGAAAAAAAAGATATTATCTTCCACTAGGTCTATTGATTGTATAACGTTTAACGTCCTTTCATCAGCTAAGCTCGTTTAATGACGTGTCTCCATGTGTGTTATGTATGCATACACGTGTGTTTATCTGTGAGGGTATGTTTTTGCATTTGCCTCCTTGTCATAGCGCAGATCTGATACTGACTATAGTGTTATGTATCGAACTGAAATAGCATGCCGAAGGCACCAAGCACTTCATTTCGCCCGGCGATATGATACTGACAACGGGTGAACAAGTTGTTGCCATTACCTTAAGTATTTAAGCTACTATTATTGGCATGTAGTAGCAACTAAATTATCAGGAAAAAGTTTATTTATATAGGGAGTTGACAAAAAGTATCTAAAAACTAAACGTCAGCGTTACTATAGTATTGTTTTCGCTTTGCTTGGTTTAATTTTGTTTAACGTCCTATTAACAGCTAAGGTCTGCGCCTCCGTATGTGTAGTGTATGCGTGCTTGCTTGTGTGTATGCAGGAGACAGGGCATGTTGGTGTGCTTGCCTCCTTGTGATAGCACTATAAAGTCGGCAACAGATCCGCGCTATCACAAGGAGGCAAGCAACAGATCCGCGCTATCTCACTGAAATACCATGCCGAAGGCACCCAGCACAGCATTCGACCCGGTCACATTATACTGACAACGGGTGAACTAGTTGTTTCCAAACCCCTTAATGCTGAACGTTAAGCAACGAATAACAACTACCATTAATAAAACATAATACAAATAAAGGAACATCCTGAAATTGTCTTAGCTGGTATAATTAGAAGTCATCACATGGCCCGAGGGCTGATATGGGTCAAGGACTGATACGGAATGGGATATTGAAAGTGTCATATGGTAACATTTTTGTCATATACTGCCATATAACATCAAATTTATTACGATTAAAAATAAAATGTATCAGCATAAAACACACAGAAAATTTACATTTCGTAACAAGAATTTCATTCTATCTGAAATAAACCACAATAAACAGAATAGCAAAATACAGATGGTAAAAGTGTGTACACTACTAGTTTGAGGTGTGATTTTTCTGCAAAGTGTTGAACCGGCAGACATCCGCAAATGGTCCTGAATATGGCCAATACACACCTAGCAGTATCGCATATGTAAAACAATACATATCACGAACAAGTATCAATTATGATAAAACCGTTTATCCAAGTAAATCGAAATTATACTTGCTGTAAACATAATGGATAGGCCCGTGCTTGAAGACCAAAAATATATATAATAGTTGTTTACCTGTACATGCATCCGCTTCAGGTGGGTCCCATAACTGTTGATCAGTACACACAAATTGTGTAGTTTTACTTGTCCCTGAAGGATATCCAAACTCAGCGTTACATGACAGCCTACAATACTCGTTGCCTGCGGTCTGACAGACAAATGCGCCATTAGCAGGTGGCTGGATAGTTGGACATTTATCTAAAAATGTAAAATGATTGGCAGCTTTATACGTGCTGGTATCTGGATTTAGGTTTTCGGCAGAACCTTTTACAAATTTGGTTTATGCCAACGCGTCATTTGATTCATGCTGTGCATATTGTTTTATTGATTCAGAAGCATTTAATATAAAAAGCCAACTCTAGTTGGAAGGAGATTTGGTCGTTATATTTTGTTTTTACATTACTTGAATTTCATGTATAAAGTATGCCTACTTCGAACATTTAAGCTTAGGCGTGCAGTAGTTAAAGTTTATGAAATAACATTTTTCTGGTTTTATTCTCACAACTCTATTTCTAATTTAAAAAAAAAAATCTTTCATTTCCGACTTTAGTTGCATTATGTACTATTATTATTATGTCACAAAAAATATGTGTTAATCATTTGTGTTATGCATGTCTCGTATTCAAAATTAGGGGAAATGTCTTGGAAGAAGATCGTCATCCATGACGCCCTAATTGAGATATTACATAATTTAAACTGGATGCTGTGATAAGATCGGCTACTGTATTTCGCTTCAATAAATTCACTTACTGTCACATGTTGGTTGATCACCTCCACCCCAGTCCCACACCATTTCAGTTGAGTCGGGTCCTTCTCTTTCACAGGTTATGGTAGTATTGCCGATGATGTCGTAATTTCTGATGCAGAACACATCGCAAATTGTTCCATATGTGTACTCCGTACCCGGACAGCCTGTCGATATTAGGGGATCATCGAACTTTCCATCAGGAGAATCGCACTCTAGGTCTAGAATGATGGACAGAATATCATTTGTCTTGATAACAGAAAGTTTGCGGGAGTTTTAATTAATGTCCACGCAATAGTGAAGGTCATACGAAGGCGGATGCCGATGGAACATCAATAGAAGGGGAAAAAAAAGCAATAGTTTTGATTTTGTATTGTTTCACGGACCATCGACAATTATGTGAGTCATTTAGGTCCAAACAACATTTTAAAAATTAACATTCACAAAAAATGATACATCAAACTAGAAATATCAAAGGGTGTATACATGTACAAATATATCAATAGTGAACGTATTGGTTGTAAAATATATCAGATTTTATAAAACACTTCTTATTAGATTGTGTCGACTTCAAAGTCAACTCGAGAAAATTTCTATAATAATATTACATTATTTGTCTTAGATTTCTTTTCGAACACATAACTGTCTCTTTAATTTGAGGCTATCTGAAAGCTGTTGGTCTTTTTAATAAAATTTGAGTCATCATAGCCACTTTCAATATTCAAATTGACGTTTGTCTTTCAACCATTAAGTTAGTTTGCTGTTTTTATTTTGAATTGGTTTTTTTCGACCATTTGTTGGCCCTAATGACCTTTCCTGTGTTGATGGGCCGTTGAGCATTTAATAATAATGATAATATTAGATCAATTGAGTAATCACCTATTGATTGAACAGAAAGTGTATTAAATACACGTTTCATACACGATACATTATAGAATCAGTTACGTTTTTGTTTGAAGTCAGAGCATTCAATCATAAAATGTTTGACTTTAAATGGCTGATCACATGCATGACAAAAAGGTTGCTCGTCTTTATGTAAAATGTAACTGTGTGGTGTAGGTACATATGTATCGCCTATGCGCAGTCGCGAGAGGACAACTTCCTCTCTTCTGTTTGCTCTACTTGTTACTCATGAACCTACGTTGGGTTAAATTGCGAATAACTTGTTGTTTATTTTTTCAGACCATCAAGTGTTGTATGCATATTTGTTTTGCCAATTCGTTTTAATAAAATTCGCTATTGAAGGTTTTAACTCACAATGAGGTTTTTTAACATATATTGGATTTAGGTTAAGAACTGCTTTGGCAGTCCTATCTACTTTCTCATTTCCACTTATTCAGACATGACCGGGTGTCCATATCATAATCAGGTGGCAAAACACTAAAGTCCTGTCAATACGAAGAGCAATGTTTTGAACGAGAATGTTGTTAAAGTTTCGATATTTTATACTTTGTAGCAGTGATAACGAGTCAGAGGAACAAACAGGTATACAACATGTAGTAGCCCAGCAACGACGAAGTCATATCTGGCCTGACAAGGGACAATTACATAACTTAATGCACCATAACAAAATTTATCGTATAGCATATTAGTACGAGTTTGAAGACCGAGCATTAGACAAAATGTGTTTGATGTGTAGACGAAGTCAAAATCGCATATTGTTTAGGTGAATTTAAGTCAAATAGTTTTCCCTTCAGTTAACTGCGGTCGAACAGAGTGATGGATAAAACCTAAATGTTTTAATGAATAATTTTCCAGTTTTAAATATGTATATTTACTAAGAAAACAAAGTATAATAACAGCTTACTTACATTCCACAACGACTTTGAAACTACAAGATACTGGTGATTCGTTTTCACTAGGATCACGAGCTACATAGGAAATGGAATGTTCTCCAACACCAAAGTCACTCCCAGGGGTCAGTCCTATTGTCTGTGTAATATTTATATCGCCAGAATTATCGTATGCAGTTGGCTGGTTCCAATAGACTTTAGCCGATGTTTTCCCTTTGTCTGCATATACTCTTACAGGGCTGACCGGACAGAAGGTGAAATACGGTGCACGTTTATCTGGGAATATAGCGACACATATATTGTACATATCTAAAATGTTGCAAAACTACGGAGATTTCCTGTAATCATTTCAAGTTCCATAAGACACTGCCTTATTTGTAAACAAATGTATTACTAAAACGAATTGTTTTCCAGATGGTTTTATAAAGCAACGCCTGTTAATATTTTTTTGAATGTACAATATTAGTAACGACTCATTATTACACCTGATGTACGCTTTATAATTAAAAGAGTATCACTACATGGGATCTGGTTAATACAGTTTGTTTGGTATCAAAGCACAATTGCAATAACAATTAAATTCCTGACCTACCTTTGCAGGATGGAAGAGAAGATGTCCATGTCTCGTCACTCTGACAGTTTATAAAACCGCCCTCTGATTCATATCCGTCCCCTGAGCAACTTGTGCCACACACCGAGTTGTAATATGTATCACCAGAGCAGTATTTTTCACCGTGTTGAGGGTTTTCCAAGTCTGGGCATTTTATTTCTGTAATATAAACAATACCAGTTGTACTAAATATATCTACATAAACTCCGCGCTTACGCAAGGACGCACATGAACCAACTTACCGCTTCTAGCGCCCTTATACGCATATATTACGCTCACGGAGGCACGTCTTTAATTTACCTCTGCTGTTGATAGAAGGATAAACGGAAAAAAAATGCACATTTGTTATTTGGTGTTGTTTATGATATTGCTAAGCTGTTTATTTACTTGGGCCTGAATTGTCGTGTTTTTATTAAAAACAGGAAATTTTAGAGAATCAACTCTCAATAAATTTCACAGTTTATTTGTTTGATTTTGTTTAACGTCCTATTAACAGCTAAGGTCATTTAAGGACGGCCTCCCCTGTGTGCAAGATGCATGCGTGTAGTGTATGTGTGTGTATTTTGGGATGCTGCGATATGTTCGTGTTTGTCTCCTTGTGATAGCGCGGAACTGATGCCGACTTTATAGTGCTACCTCACTGAAACAAACTGCCGAAGACACCCAGCAGGACGCCCCACCCGGTCACATTATACTGACAACAGTCAGGTTTCAGTTATTTTATAAATGCTAATTCGATATACATAGTGATTTTTGTACATTGTACTTACGGTCCTAATTAAAATTGGCCATTATATTTACGAATAAATATGATAGAATGAGGATATTGAATGACCCGAACCCATTTTATCTGAGAAATTTCAAATAATAGCCAGTTTGAATTAATAACCCTTACGTTTTCTTACGATGTCACTGCAATACACAAACCTCACACCCCTAACATTAACACACATGTACCTACTCGAGCATTCGGCCACCGTGCCATCGAAATTTTCATTATTCTGACAAGTCCTTGTTGCAGATCCACTCCGTTCATAACCTTCATTGCAAGAAAACGAACACGTGGTACCCAGAATAGGATCATAGTGGTAAGGTGTACACGACATTCGTCCATTCACGAGATAGCCAGGTAGGGTGCACCGTATCACTGTAAAAATGTATAAGAAAATATATTAGTGTCAACAAAACCATGATTTGGAATTTAAAAAAAAAATCTGAATAAAGGAACGATTAACGTGGAGACAATAAAAAAATACAAGGAGAATAAGCCCATGTCTTCTGGAAAAAAGCCTCTTGAAGACACAAGCTATGTAAGTTCGAATCAAAGTAATGTCACGTCCTCCCATCGAGACCTCTAGTAGTGATAAAAAAAACCACAAGGCACACTAATGACCACTATCAAAAACATCAATCTTTATATAAAAGTTTCCCTGCAAGATCCTGATGGCCACACTAAATTTTGTCTATATTCTTCATCAACATGAATGTTTGGAAAACCTGCGTTAAATGTTTGTCCATCAGCAGTCGACATTAATCACGGAGGGTCATGATATTTTGAACCAGCTGTGAAGAACCGAACAATCGGCGATATGTAAACACCATACAAAAAGGTAAGGAAAACAAGGATGTTGCTATTAAGAAAGAAAAGGAATGTTCATGATCTGAAACTCGGAATTGTCCCCCTTAGTATTAAGCCGTCTGTTTGTATCTTTATAAGTTAAGACCGAGAAAAGCGGCTAAATAGAAGAGTATGTTGTGTCTTTAATTTCAAGCTCTTAAGGGTATATACAATGGATGTGGTCAATACATTTCTCGTTATTCAAAGACAGTATATTGTCGATATCTTTAACGTAGCTAGGTTTTTATAACCAGTTCAGATAAGGTTATCAATAAATTCAGCTTCATCTGAAAACAGAAACAAATCGTCCAGAAGAGGGACAAAGTTTCTTCCAATAGGAATGACAATAGCTATTGTAACCCAGGAATTCAAACATTCTCACATTTTTTTTCTTTCTTTTGCTTCTATTTTGTTAAAATTCTCTTTTAAGAGGTAGCACTTTAAAGCCGGCATCAGTTCCGCGCTAACATCCCGCAGCCTCCAAAAACACACACGTATGCATCTTGCACACAGGGGAGGCAGTCCATAAATGACTATAGCTGTTGATAGGACGTTAAACAATACTAAACCAAACCAAACCAAAGCTATCTCATTTAATACTATGCCGTAGGCACAAAGCTCAGCATTCCGCCCGTTCACATTTTACTGACAACGGATAAGTTAGTTTGGCCTGTCACAAAGGACTGTAGTTATGGTGTCTGATAATGTATAAAGCCAACAAAAATACTGATATCAATGTACAATTTAATTACCTAAGAGTAATACATATACCAATTACCACTCATACCAACTCACTCACTCACGGTACATACAAAACTATATGAAATATATAGAAGTACTAGATACTAAACTGTATACTCTGTATATTTACAGTAGACCTTGCCTGTAAACATATTTATATATACAATAACGGACGAAGTCCCTGCAGGTAGGGCGTAAGAAATGTACCCGCTGTCCCCCTTGCATGATCGTAAGAGGCGACTAAATTTGGGATCTTATCTTTTCTCTTCTAACTAAACAACTTTTTTTCTTCCTAATGTCTCCCTTGACACTGCCTCAGTTTTGGACTTTAGTTGAGCGTTCGCCCCTGTGAGGAAGGGTTTGGGTTCTGTCCCCAGGCCGAGACATACCAGAGTCTGTAAAATGGTAGTTTCTCCCCCTGCTTAACGCTCAGCAATTTAGGAGGTAGACGACTAGTTCGCCCGTTGTCAGTATAATGTGACCGGCAGAGGTGTCCTGCTGGGTGTCTTCGGAAGTATGTTTTAGTGAGGTAACACTATAAAGTCGGCATTAGTTCCGCGCTATCACAAGGAGACAAACACGAACATAATTATCTCAGCCTCCCAAAACACACACGCGTACACAACACGCATGCATCTTGCACACATGGGATGCCGTCCTTAAATGACCATAGAACGTTAAACAATACTAAACCAAACCATACCAAACGGACGACCTAGGTAGGTTAACTTTGGCAAATAATGTTCATTATTATAAACTGTAGAGTTAATTATCTCGACAATATCTGCAATGTCCAGCCACTTGGTAAGGTAAAGATCAGTAAGTATAAACAGCACTGTGCTAGTCAACACACGAAAGTTCGCTTCACTGTATCAGTACTAGTACTGTTCACTTCATAATATTCACGTACACCTCGGCGGGTTTATGCACTGTTAAATACAGTATAATTCTATTACAGTTTAGTATATACCCAGCATTTCCTTACTGATATATATATGTATATATATACACCTATTACTTCTATAAATCAGTTTATAATAGACACCACACTATTATACACAAACTGTTGTAAACACAATACTTCATGATGTCCACCCGCCACACCACTTCCGGTACCCGGTGACCTCAATGGATTCCATCACATGGTCCCGATGGAAACCGAATCCTGCACGTGACCTTCACCTCAAGGCACTAACTCTACAACATGACAACCACGTCACATATCCGGGCAGCAACTAAACTCGAGGTACAAACACTGCATGCCCATATATATAGTGTATAGTAGACGTCAAGCCCTGCTCTCACCGTTTGCGGAAAAGTAGGCCATTTACAAATCAAAAATAAACAAAAAAACTGCATCTACAACCATAGAAAGTTTAAAACCCTGCTCCGGTACTACCAAAAAGTCCGGGGTCCAGGCACCCTTCCGCCACCGTCACTACCTGCAGCCGGCACCCAAATGTCCTGGACTCATCCTCGCTTTCAGCTTTTGAAAACTACAGGTTTTCCCTCCTAACACAAGAGCTTCACAAGAGACTTAACTCTAGCAAAGTACTTTTTAAGTTGTCGCACCACTAATGACTACATCACATTGCCTTTACCTAAATGCTGAACGTAAAGCGGTGAAGAACAACTACCATTTTTAGGCCTTTCGTCGTCGTCGTCCGTCGTGCGTAAACTTTTTATATTTTCGACTTCTCAATAACCAGAAGATCATTTTTTTCAAACTTGGTCAGAATCATCCTTGGTAGATGAGGCTACAAAGTTGTAAAATTGGAATTCCTATCCCAACCCCAGGTGTCAGGGTTGGGCCCCAAAGGGAAAATTAATCAATATTTCAAAAATCTTCTCCAGACTCAAGAGATACAACAGTCAATTTCTCTGCATAGATGGAAAGATCATCAAGGGCTTTATGTAAATTTTAAATTTCAGTTCCCAGGGCTATCCGTTCTCTCTTAGGGAGGGGGTAAAAAATAGTTTATATAGGGAAAAAACACTTTAAGATCATTTTTTTCAAACTTGGTCAGAATCATCCTTGGAGGAAGATGGTATCAAATTGTAAAATTGGGATTCCTGCCCCAAACCCAGGGGCCAGGGAGGGCCCCATATGAAAAATTAACCAATATTTCAAAAAATTTCTACTTGAGACTCAGAGGCACTACAGTCAATTTCCCTACATGGATGGAAAGATCATCAGGGGCTTTATGTAAATTTTAGTAACCCCGGCTTTTCGTTCTCCCTTGGGGAGGGGGTCAATTTTACCATAGTTTATATAGGGAAATAACACGTTTGGGTATATTTTGTCAATTTTAAGTAGGAAATTATTCTTACTTGGTCAGAATCAGAATCATCCTTGGAGAAAGATGATATGAAATTAAAAAAAATAGGATTCCTGCCTCAACCCCAGGGGCCAGGGCGGGGCCCCAAAGGGAAAATTAACCAATATTTCAAAAATCTTCTACTTGAGACCCAGGTACTACAGTCAGGATCTGCATTGTTGGAAAGATCATCAGAGGTTTTATGTACATTGTAAATTTCAGTTCCCCGTGGCTATCCGTTCTCTCTTGGGGAGGGTGTAAATTATATTATAGTTTATATAGGGAAATAACACATTTTGGCATATTTTGTCATTTTCAGCTGGAAATTATTAACACTTTGTTAGAATGATTATGATGCCAGATAGCAATTAGATGGTATGAGAAAATCAGATCCTGCCCCATCCCCAGGGGCTGGAGGGGTGAGGCCAGAATGGGGTAAATAGTTAAAAAAAATCAAAAATCTTCTTTATCAGACTCAGATGTATTACAAACAAATACTCTTCATGGATAGAAAGGTCCTTAAAATGGCTGAAAAAACTCTACACTCAGATGGTAGAAGATTCAAATTTCTTTTTTTGGATGGAAATGCCCTTAGGTGCATATATAAACTGTTAGTTATATTACCCTTTGGTCATCTGTTCTCCTTGGTTTTTATAGGGAAATAACACTTCTGACTATATCTTGTCCATTTGCAGCAAGAAATAATTCAAACTTGGTTGAAATAGTTATAATGAAATTGAAATCAAATAGTATCGGAAACAAAGAACCTGTCCTATCCCAGGGGTTGTCCAGAGAGGAAAATTGGCTAAATAACAATAGATATTATATTTCTCAATAGCAAAATAATGTATTTGAATAGTTTTTAGAGTTCTTATCCTATGGTGACATGACAAGTATTGTATTTCACTTTGTTTACTTGTGATTTCCACATTCTCAATAATGAAATTGAGCTATGATATAACTCAAGTGACCGCTAAGGCCCTTGGGCCTCTTGTTAAGGACTGTGGTATGTTCCGGCCTGGGGACAAAACCCATTGCCTTCTTCACCTGGGGGAACATTGAACATCAAAGCTAAAAGTAAGGTGTTGCCAAGCAAGGTGCTAGGAAATTAAATGTAGTTAGAAGTAGAGAGAAAACCAAAGATCCGAAATATAGCACTGTTACCTCAGGAACATGCAGTATGTGTTTATTTCTGATATGTTTGTGTATATTGTGCATATGAACATTTAGGTGTTCTTGCGGTTGACATTTATAAGATTGACTCTGAGAGTACATTGTATACAGATGGACGTTCAAAACTGTTTTTTTTAAAGAATTCAACTTTAAAGTTAAATTTTATAAGGTTAACAAATGATATGAATATTAATATACAACATTTGATATACATGTAGCGCCCTATCAAGCTAAACTAAGCCACTCTAAAGCGCTTTACAGAACATGGGCAAGCAATACAATGAGCATGTACATTAATCAATACAATTTTGAGGAATTTGCAGGAGCTGCCGTATCAGGCGCTAACTACTAGTCCTATGCCACCTGGCTAATATCTCCCTATGTGTGTATGCCTGCGTGTGTGCTAGAAATGTATTGTATCCCATTTGTAATGGGACCGTGCTTCCAACGGCATTTTTTATAGTGCCACCTCACTTGAATGCAACAGCACAGATACCGCAACATCCATCCAAGACCATTGCATACTCCCCTTGGATTGTTGGAGTTTGTGGGTAGGAGAAAAAAACTTTCTCTGAATATTCCATAGAAGGGACCAGGAAAGCAAGGGCAGTGGAAATGGGCTCTCAAGGAGCATGGACGAAATGGAAGCTGCCGGAGCGAAAGCTTACATGGACAGACCTGTGGCGCTATGAACCATTGAGGATCTAGTTCCTGTTGCGGTCAGTATATAACACTTTACCATCGCCAGCGAACCTTCATCTGTGGGGACTGGTCGAAGAGCCAAAGTGTCAGCTATGTCAAGAACGTGGGACCATGGGCCATATCCTTTCGGCATGCAAGACAGCGCTAACACAGGGACGATACCGGTGGAGACATGACCAGGTGCTTCGGGAATTGGCAGATGTTCTCGAGGTGGAAAGGAAGAAGAAGAGACCACCTCGTAAGCACAAACCATCCTTCATCCGGTTTGTAAAAGCAGGGGAGAAGGAGACGAAAGCAACATCAGGCAACACTGGCATTCTGGAAGGGGCAGAGACATGGGAGATGAGAGTTGACCTGGGGAAGAAATTGGTGTTTCCGGACGTCGTACAGACAACGCTACGTCCGGATGTGGTGATATGGTCTGCCGAATCCAGGCAGATTATAGTCATCGAGCTGACTGTGCCCTGGGAGGAGCGGTGCGACCAGGCCAATGAGAGAAAGAGAGCCAAGTATACGGAGCTCATGGAACAATGTAGGGAGCGAGGGTGGCGTACTTGGCTGTTTCCTGTGGAGGTCGGATGCAGAGGGTTCCCGGCACGCTCAGCCCGGAAGACATTGCAGGCTGTGGGATTAGTTGGAAAGACACGCAAGACGGCGGTGCGCAGGCTAGCAGAGGCTGCTGAGCGCGCATCATGCTGGTTGTGGAACAGACGGGAGGAGAAAGACTGGAAGCCATCCATTGACGGGCAGTGAGTTGATCGCCACTGTCGACCCACCATCACGAGAACGTTCCGGGACAAGGGTTGAAACGTCTAGAGACTGATGGACCCGGCTGATGATGTCAATGGATTCGCAGTATTTCACCAACTGTAAAGGTACACATGCGTACGACGACTTTGGGAATCGAACCCCGGCCGCCTACGTGGAAGGCCGGAGTGTTTACCACTCGACCAATCCGCCTATATATTGAAAATGAATGAGAATAACCTTTTAAAATAGAAAAAAAATGGAAACTTACCGTTAACTTCAAACAGGATGAAACAGGTGTCTTTGTTTCCGTGGTCGTCCGTTGCACTATACACGATTGATTTTTCACCCTGTACAAAACTTGAACCACTCGGCAACCCAAATTCTCTCTGTGGCCTTTTAGGAAATACAAATGAAAGAGCCATTTATGTGTCAGGTTTAAAACAAAATGTAAGCATACGTATTAGAATTAAGGTACATAAAATGTGAATCGTTTCAATGGCTAGTTTTATGCCTTTACTTAATATAATGCGTTTTCAAAACATATCTATTTCAATTTTACAATAAAACCTACGTCAGGGCACCTTGTTCAAGATCAGTAGCAGTCGGTTCCGGCCAGGTTACAACCACAGACTTTCTTCTAGACGGTGCATAATATTTCGTTTGTATTGTAGGACAGGTAATGACTGGACGTTGGTTAATTACTGGATCAGATCCTCGTGGTGGACCTGCAAGATACATAAATCAAACTTCTGTCTCGTAATGATAAACCCCTATACTTCATATTTTCTCAAACAAAGATTTGAAGAAGATTGCGAATTTAATTGCTGATTATCATATTCCATAGGAATGTTTGGTATCTTTTTAGATTGACGCTGTTAAAACTTATGGTGGTCAGAAAAAACCAAATCGTATTACTTCCAGAATCGTATGATAAAACGTATATACTATGAACTCTTTTTCAAAGGAGATTGTTAAAACTCGATTCCCCAACCTGACGTAAATGAAAACTACTTAATATTCTGTTGACATCAAACTTCCATACTATAATACTAACTGTAAAAGAAAATTTGATACTGAAAAAACCTAGTATCTAACTACTTTTCTGATAGACATCGTCGAGGTTTTTTTCTCCACATATTTAAATGTTAATGCAGGAGTGCCCGAGGGATCGGATATGGATCGATTATTCTTTTATTATAAACTTTTTGCTGATGACACCTTCTTATATGTTATTGTTGATAACAATCCTAATCAATCTGCACATCTTCTTACTAGTGATCTTAATAAATAAATGGGCATTATTTGTAATCCTACTTAGATAAAGTCTGTTTTACTTTCAAGGAAAAATGGAACAGTATGTACCACAAAATCTCTTCGAAGGTGTTATCACGGAAATGATTTAACCAATAATCATTTCGCCGTTACTTTAAACGAAAAATTGAAATTTTGGACCTCAGATACAGTACATATACGAAAAAGATATGCTAAAATAGATATATTATATTATGTTGTTCAAAATATTAACGCTCAGCAAATTAGGAGTGGGACGACTGGTTCGTCCGTTGTCAGTATAATGTGACCGGGTGGGGCGTCCTGCTGGGGGTCTTCGGCAGTATGTCTCAGTGAGGTAGCACTATAAAGTCGGCATCAGTTCCGTGCTATCACAAGGTGACTAACACGAACATATCGCAGCCTCCCAAAATACACACACATACACTACACGCATGCATCTTGCACACAGGGGAGGCCGTCCTTAAATGACCTTAGCTGTTAATAGGACGTTAAACAAAATCAAACAAACAAACAAACAAACAAATCAAAATATTAACTGAATAGAGAAGTATATTTTGCATTCATACGGCCTTTTCTAGGATATGCCCATATAATCTGGAACAATTAATTATTTATAAGAAATATAATCTATCCAACTGGAGGCACACAAATTGTTACAGGACTTATCAAGAAATGGAATGGCAACCATTGGAAGAAAGACGTAAATATCACCAATTAATTTGAATGTACAAAGCAATTCATGGTCAGACTCCTTTGTTCTCCGAAGAAATTGCTTTTTTACCCTTTTATTATAAATAATGTTGCAAATATATATCCTCTGCGTAGAAATAGATTATCTAACCTTTCAATTTCTAAATCAAATAGTTACAAAAACAGTTTCTTTAAGACAATGTTTCGAGAGTTTAATAAACTATCACCTACTAATATAAAATAACTTCTGTCAGCAAATTTAAGAAATTCATTTTGAACATGTCAATTGAATGTGAGGACGAAGGCGTGTTTGTAACAAGTGTATTAAGAAATAAGGTATAAAAAGGTAATATTTCACTTTGTCAGCTTCAAACGGATGTAGCAATTTAAATATTGACTTGAATGTTGATAACTTAAACGAAAATATTGTGTATATGTGTGCTTGTGGTCTATCTTATGTGTGATTGTAGTCCATCTTATGTGTGATTGTAGTCCATCTCATGTGTGCTAGTAGTCTATCTCATGTGTGATTGTGGTCTATCTAATGTGTGCTTGTGGTCGATCTTATGTGTGATTGTAGTCCATCTTATGTGTGATTGTAGTCCATCTTATGTGTGATTGTGGTTTATCTTATGTGTGATTGTGGTCTATCCTATGTGTGATTGTAGTCCATCTTATGTGTGACTGTGGTCTATCTAATGTGTGATTGTGGTCTATCTAATGTGTGATTGTAGTCTATCTTATGTGTGATTGTGGTCTATCTTATGTGTGATTGTGGTCTATACCAAGAAATTGTTTCACATTTCTTTCCTTATTGTCCACTGTTTCCAATAAAAATATCCATAACGACTTTCATCTCTCCCATTTACTTTATGGACATCTAATTATGTGTACGTATGCAATGATGATGGTCATTTGGAAATTCTGAATTTTGTTCTAAAACACATTTATAAAACAAAAAGATATATTGCATCTCTTGTATAATACCTAGAACATAAACATATCTTGTATTTGAAACATATGTTATATAGTGTTCATATGAAGCTGGTTACTATGACAGTACTATGATCTTGTTTATGCTATTCCTGTATATTCTCCCATATTAAATATGATTGTATAGATTTGCTTCATAATAGTATATAGTCAGATTTAATGCTGATGAAATCGTGATCAAATCTAAATCCCCATAATGTATTTAATGTTCAGTTGAAGACCTTAACTTGGACTGTATGGTCTTCGATTTGATGTGTCATTGTGGGAATACCTCCCTTATTACAATGTATATTATTCAATCAAGAATGAATTATCAAACTATACATGCTATTTCACCAGGTTCATGATTGGCACTGGAGCTACAGACAAAGTGTGATTAGAAAACGAGCTTATTAGTATCTGACGATTTTTTTTAACCCTTATCAATATTACTATATCCTTACCATGCGTATAACAATTTGCATACTAGCAGACGCATGAAATGTTACCATTTTGAGCCTAATGACTATATATATCATTTAATAGAATGGTACACGTTGATGGTTTTCATCTTCTCTAAAAGTTCAATAGCCAATCATGACGTCTGGTAAACATTTGTATTATTGACATTAAACTTTTGTCTGTTCATATCTGTCCTTTAACCATCAAGGGGGATGATTTATATAGGCTTTTAGCATAATGTCATATCCTTTTGACATGTTGCCATTCGATTGTCAATAAATATTTTAGAAATTAAAAAGAATTAGACGAAAAATTAGTACATTATAAACTCCTACAACATTGACTGCCGAAACAGTTTTCTGATGAATAGAAATCACATCTTACAAAACAATATGCACACAACGATCGCCGCAAATACCCATCCCACGAACCGTTTACGTCTGTGCACAGATGTATCTGAAAAACAAAAGTAGAAGAAAAACTTTAAGATGTAAGAAAATTCTTTACCTAAAAGAAACACGGTCAAAATAATTTGTTTACTGTGTCCGCATTATCAAAGATTATTTCCATATCTTCTCAAATCATATCGACATCTTTACAAATTTATTTCGACATACGAAACTAATTAGCTTTTGACGACAATATGTCACCATGAAAGCAAGTTAAACAGAAAAAAACAATAACAAATTAAGGAGTAATGTCCCAATTAAAACAAAACACTAGATGCATCGCCCAGCAGCTGAAGCTGTCGTGCCAGGAGAAAGGGCATGTGTACAAGATAATTGGTGCAGGGTTGTAATCACGATGTGTAACATCAATGTAAGTGCGTGTAAAGTTTAATCAGCTTTACACTAACGACTGAATTTGCTATATAAAAATCAACAGTCCAGACATAATAGGAGATCAGATATGTTTTAGCTGACGTCGGTGAAAAGTGTAGATGACCAAAACCTTTACAGAGGGGAGGGGGTGCATTTTGGACCTTGACACCGACGCCATATCTTTCCACGTCCCTTTCAGTTGTTTAATTGTTTTTCTCTGCCCCATCAACTTTTTTGCACGGTTTGAAACATGTAAAAAGGAAGACAATTGCTATGTAATGTAATTTGTCCGTGTCATAAAGGAAATATGAAATCTATACATTAATTCAGCTAAATTCATTAAGTAAATTCTTTTTTTCGTTTCGACACTTTTTAGAAACAGTTCTCAACCTCAAATATAGTACAAATATGTATTATCACATCTATATGCGGAGGCACGGTAGTCTAGTCGGAAGGGCGCCGAGTTCGTCACCGTTGTATTTTAGTTTGATGTGTTCAGTTTCAAGAAAGTCTATTTTTACAATGTTTTTTAGCCCTTAATGACTGGCATTGCCGATTGGACGTGAAAGAATACGATCAAACATACTAATTAATTATGCGTGGATTTTGTTTAATTTATTTTGGGTTTAACGTTTTCGCCAGCCAGAGTCATTTGAGGACGGGTGCATAGGGAGACACTGCCTGAAGAAGATAGAAAAGAAAGGAAAGACATAAACGAAAAGATCCCATGTGCAATGGGGGCAGCAGATCAATATTGGTCTCTTTCGTGTCCTATTCGTAGAAGACATGGAAGAAAACAACCGATTCTGCAGGAGGGGGGGCTAAATAAGTCGCCTTTTTCGATTTCCGATACACATGTACATGCATAGCAGGCTCCATCAAATTTGAACGATATTTTAGCACAATATCTTGCGAAAAAAACAAAGTCACGAAGCCTTAAATAGCCTTTTTTAGCCCACCATCATCAGATGGTCCGTGGTCCGTCCGTAATTGCAAAACCACAATGGCCGAAAGGCCGTTATTTTGAATTTTAGAGTTAAAGTTTGTTAGTGCTATTTCCGAGAACTTATGAGAAGGAACTTTCTCAAATTTCAAATAAAGGTTCCCCATGATTGAATTAGGGAGTAAAAGTGTTTTAGCCCTATTGCTCAAAAAGTCTCAAATTTCACATAAGGGTTCCTCTTGTTCTTAGTTATGCATATGAAATGTCGGCCGGTCATCTTGTCACAGTGTAAGTTTGATATCGCTATTTCTCAGAATTAACTGAAGGATTTTTTTCTCAAATTTGTTATGTATGTTTCCCTTCACTCAGTAGTCCTGAGTTGTGCATGTTTACATTTGAGTTTGATCAAAAGATTGATTAAGATAGCAGATAGGCAAACCGATCGAACAGATAAGAGAAAAGAAGAAAAAATATCAAACTGACAGAACTAATGAAGATAGTACTATGGTGGGGGCCAGGATCCTCTGGGATCTCTTGATTAATTTTAAAGTAACATGAACTGGTGCAACATATAAACCAAGTTAACGATACAGGCCCATTAGGCCTCTCGTTGTAAATATATTTTGAACAGCCGTACACTAGTGAACTAGTGAACTCACCTCCAAAATTATGCCAAATGCTGTTTTCACACAAAAGTCGCTGACTTCTATGACTGTATGCTATATCACATATAGTGCCAGTCTGTAGAAAATCTTCAACTATGACGGGTACGCCATTCATATGGCACTGGATATCACCGTTCTGTATTAACTTCTTTGTGGGACACAATGTAGTTTTCTAAAAGACAAGGTTACAGAGGTAACTATTAAGTTATCTGTTTCAGTCAATTCGATATCTAAGATAAAGAATGTGACTCCATGAGATATTTTAAAAAAATCATTTCACCCAATGAACCTGTCTTCAGTTCGCAGGTCAACTATACATAATGATGTAATTACTTGTAAATATTGGGTTAATTTTTGTTCACACCAACTGTTATAAAAATGTTTTTCATTAAAGGGGTCGGTTTCCGATTTAATTCTACACTATTTTGAGTTACTCGCTTTCGTAATAACTAAAAGTTGAAAGCACACGAGGGTTCTAATTATAGTAATGTGGCATAGCATTGCCCGAATAAAATCCATGTGATCCATACAATTTAACTGCTGATCGGGAAATCGAACCCCGCTATAAATCACAACTGAACCAATTGTGACGAAAGAACAGACAGACGGAGGGACGTGGCAGGAAAATCTACGGTTCAAAAATGAGTTATTACATATGTAAATCAATTGTAAAATAAAATGTCAGTAAATACATCAAAAATAGAGAATACCTAAATGTCAACATAATTGTAATTTACTTCAATACAGATGAACGAGTACAAGATATGAATAAAGGGAACATGAACATGAACATAATTTAAAAAAATAAAGAACAATACCAGGTAATCGTGGAAGGTAGGGGTCGACGACACCTGCCAAGTCAACCCTGAACAATTAAAAATAAAATGTTTGATTGCCTACGCTTGTCAGAACGTAGCAAACACATTTAGTGTTTGTTGCCGTTGCCCTAATTGATGCGAAGAATCCTGTTTAATGAAGGCGTAGTCCGTCAGACATCAAAGTCACAGTTTGTTGCTCCATTGACGACGATCAAATGATGCTTTCATCTATTTGAGATGTTGTTCGGTAAAGTCACTATAGATGAGCTATCATCAAGTAAAGGTATATAGTTGCGTGTGTGTCGTAAAGTACAATGCGGAAGTAAACAGTGTGCATGACTCATGTTAATCCGAGCATTAGTTCAACATTGAGTAAGCTCGACAATGAACTTCATTAACATTTATTAGGACGATAATTGTGAAATAAATATTATCTTGCTACATTTATGTAAGTTGGAAAACAAAACTTCCACAATGGCAGCATGTCACGAAGGACTGTATTCATGGTGACTGATATTGTATCAAGCCACCAAAAACACTAAGTCCAATGTACAATTTAATTACCTTAAAACAATACATATAACAATTCGTTGTGAAATATGTAGAAGTACTAGATACTTAAATGTATACTCTGTATATTTACAGTAGACATAGCCTTTAAACATATGTATATATCAATTCTATCTTCTTGTAATATGATGTATATGTACAGGTAACTGTTCTGTTTCACTGTGTCTTGAAAAAGGAGCGTATCGCTCCGAAAATTTGACAACCTAAACTTGTCCACACAGTTGGAATTACTTCTTTGCCCCATATATATATATATATATTTATATATAATGACGGACCCCCTAGGTAACTTAAACTCGGCAAATAATCAAATAATGAAGAGTTGATTATCTCCACAATATCTGTAATGCCTAGCAAACTTGGTTAGATAAAGCTCAAAAGGTAGAAACAGCACTGTACTAGTGTACTCTTCAACACACCAAGTTCTCTTCACTGGAAAATGTTCAAGTACACCTCTGTGGGTAAATTCACTGTTAAATACAGTACATTTCTATTACAGTTTAAGATATACTCAGTATTACCTTACTGATATATATATTACTTCCATAACTCAGTTTATAATAGACATCGGACTATTATACACGAACTGTTACGGTCGACACCACACAATACTTCACCGTATCCACCCGCCACATCAATTCCGGTACCCAGTGACCTCAATAGGATCCATCATATCAACCGAATCCTGCACGTCCGCCATAGACCGTGACCTTCACCACAAGGCACTAACTCTGCAACATGACAACCACGTCACATATCCGGGCGGCAAATAAGCTCTAGGTACCAACATCGCATGCCCAAACTGTGTATAATTTCAAGCCCTGTCATCATCGTCGGCTGAATATTATACCATTAAACAAAACCCCTGTATCTGCAGTCATGGAAAGTTTAAAACCCCGCCCCGGAACGTCCCCAACAACTATTCCGGCGTCCAGACAACCCTTCCACCACCGTCGCTACCTTCAGCTGGCATAGAATAAATACCTGTATACATGCTAACACCAAACAAAATAAAATTATTTATTATAGACTTACTTTGTAATGTTGAATGACATCGGAAAACGACGCTTGCGAAAGCGAGAGAAGTGAAATACTGACCAAAATAACCAAAAGAAAACACTGTCCCGCTTCCATCTTCATAATATTATCAGTTATGTTCCAAACAATGTTAGGATTAAAAACAAATAACAATATATATGATCATCGTCTAACGGAAGGGACCAGAAGTGTGCGTTACCAGAGAAGTATACGCCTCTTTTATACGGGGTATTTTACCAGGAAGTGATTACATTTAGTGTCTCTATAAATAATATCAGTTTAGTTTATCGGTCTATTATGTCATGTTTTGGAGTATTTAAACATACCCCGTCTTTTGTATACACACACGCAATCGATCACACACTACACACATGGAGACACGTCTTTAAATTACCATAACTGTTAATAGGACGTTAAACAAAATTAAATCAAACCAAACCAATAGTATCTTCTGCCTATAGGACATACCTTTCTTTTTTATGTTTTTTTTTTTATCTTTTCGACGGTGTTTTGCTGCATGGTGGCTATCCTTGTTTTTTGGGGTGTTTTTTTAGGTTCACTAAGAACAAAACAAACACCATGGAATGATTGTAATATATATTTCGTGCTTTTAAACTTTGATTGGCAGACAACCGTTATAGATGAAATACTTTGGTACAGATATTTTCGGTCTCTAAAGAAAATAAATAACGGGATGGTAATTATTTCGGTTTGGATTTATTGATGATTCTCTTTTTGAAACTTTTGAAATCCAGTATATTGTATTGATCAACGAGAACATATATTACATTGACTCTGAACTTCACAGGCGAAATAATCAAATACTTATTGTATAGAAATTTGCTGAAAATATAATGATCTAAGGTTCATGTTTATGTTCACTTTAAGTCCACTATACCAGCTTCATCGGACAATATAGTTTAAGGATGACATTCTGCGTTACCTTTTCTGTTTGGATTAAACATCAAGATTTTAAATCGAATCGATGCGTATATTGGCAGAATTCTAGGTTAAAATCTTTAAAATACCGATGAATAATGATTTTTTCTTCTTATATATTAATATATTAATTTATAATATATTAATATATTCTGAATATTAGTTGGTGGAGCTAGCACAGTGTGAGTTCCTGGTAGAGCTGTGTAAATGGAAATGTATTTTTGTAAAATGATATTTAAAGTACTCTTGTTCGATCGCCGACAAGGTTCATGTATGATAACATAGGACACTTGACATTGATTTCATGTCGCCCAGTGCTATCATAAAGACGGACTTAAAATTCCAAAATCAACATATTACTCAATACCTTCATGAAAACAAGTGCATTGTCCATTCGTGGTAATGTAAATAAATTGGCAGACATTGGCCGTTACAAAGACTGATTATTGTCTACATCGGGAAAGAAACAAATAGAACGTATTTGTGCATGTATAAGAGTACGGTTTTATGATTAGGTAAGACGAATATATCGGGTATATAACTGTGTGTATGAGTGTGAACACTTAAAATTCAAATCTTATTATACAGCTCTGAAAACGGTAGACTTTAAAGACTTGTTAATTAGCAACCCGAAACCGTTTTAAAGTCTTCCTGCTATGTTCCTATAACAGGCTCAACTAAATTGACAACGTTGTCTAATAGAATCTTTTCAACGGATAGAATTATTCATTTTCAATTTAGTTCGAAATTTTGTGACACAATATCAAATAGTTGCGGCGGTTTAAATGCTGGAAAAATCGACAACTAGGAAGTGAAATGTCTTGGACAAGATGACTTGTCAAAGATAATTTACCTCTAGATTCCCTGGAAGAACTGATTACCGAAACGATACCACATGAAAGAAGACCGAATAATATATCACTTGAGCCACCCTCTCATTAATAAATTTACAATGGCCGTATTAAATGTGTATGTTTTACGTTATTTAAGTAATGAATCTTCGTTTTGAAAGATAGCTTTCCTAACGATAGCAGGCGTGTTGAGTGTGGATGCCAAAGGCAATGTGTTCTTAACAGTAGGTGATTGAGATCGCTAAACGCAACATTGCATTCATTGAAAAACATTAGAAACGATTCATTAAATTTATGTGTCTTGGTCGCTGTATAAAAAAAATCAAATCTTGGGAAGAAAATCAAGTGAGAATTTACTGGTAGTTCTCTGGAACAACTACCTCATCATCAGATAACTCCTGAGATGGATACTTTGGCGGAGGTTAGTTGGTTAGTTGTACATGTTTTAACGTCCTATCAACAACGAAGGTCATTTAATAACTTGGTTTCAAGTGCGTCATGCATGCGTATAAGTGTGCTAGAGGTGACATGTTGGTGTATTTGCCTCCTGGTGATAGCTTGGTTCTGATGCCGACCTTTTAGTGCTTTCTCACTAAAATATCATGCTAAAGGCATCTGGTAGACAATTCCGCTCGGTTCCGTTATGGGTTGCTAGTTAACTGAGACAAAACTAAATTCTGCCAATGATTACATTGATGTTTTTAGGTCACCTGAGACAAAGTCTCAAGTGACCTATTGCAATCGCCTTTTGTCCGTCGTTGTCCGTCCGTAGTATCAAGCCCCTAGGGGCCTGAGGGGCGGGGCCAAAAAGTGTCAAATTGACTAAAATTTCAAAAATCTTCTTCTCCAAAAGCCCTGAACCGATTTCAATGAAATTTTGCAGGGACCTTCCATGGACAAAGGTTCAAAATTTCAAAAATCTTCTTTTCAATCTGCCCTGCAGGTAGGGTGTAAGAATTGTACCTGCTGCCCCCAATTGCATGATCGTAAGAGGCGACTAAATTTGGGACCTTATCTCTTCTCTCCTTTCTAAATAACTTTCTTCTTCCTAATGTCTCCCTTGACAATGCCTCACTTTTGGCCATTTGTTGAGCGTTCGCCCCTGTGAGGAAGGCTTTGGGTTCTGTCCCCTGGCCGAGACATACCAAAGTCTTTAA